ACAGTTGCTCATGCCAGGCACTGATTAATACCGTTCCACTCGGTTTTTTCCGTGCCCCATTTTGACCTAGTTTTAGGCCATCATTTAATCGATTTATGTGTTCTCACGATCATACATTAACTTGCTAACCCGGTTCGGATCAGCACACTCTCTTGTGTGTTCTGATTTTGTCTGTTGGGTTATGGGCTCCTACAAATACTGTATAGCGTCATGGGTGGAATTCGGTCTTAACATCAACTCTGAAGGAATCTGTTTCATCCCGACGAGACAAAATGTCTACCATGCAGTTTTCGGTACCAGCAAAATGACTGCTCGAGAAGTTGTACACTTGCAGCCAAAGCGCCCATTGAGATAGTTCTTCTTTCGGGTTCTCGGCAGTTCTAATCCACCCTAGTGGATTGTGGTCCGTTTCCATATGAAACCTTTGGCCCAGAAGATATTATCACCACTTATCCACTGCACGTATGCTGGCAGGGCGTTTTTTTCAGTGGTGGAATATTTCCGTTCCGTTGAAGTAAAGACCCAGCTTGCGTATTCAACCCCTCCACTTGTTTGCTTGAGTACGGACCACACGCCAACGTCATTGCCGTCCATCACAAATGTGAAACGTCCACCAATAACTGGCACTTTCAGCGTCAGATGATGTTCGGTGATTACCCTTTGAAGTTCATAAAAGGTTTTCTGGGCTTCTAGTGTCCGTCAAAAGTGATGTTCTTTCTTGAGCGACGGTCGCAAAATGTTTTGAAGAACCGGCTTCAGAATGCGGCACAGCCTGGGAACCATCTTAATGTGCATTTCAATATTGGGCGTTTAAACTCCTTTAACTTAAGGAAATTCTCCGGGGGTGGCCTCAATTCTCCATTTCCCACCCTATGACCCAGTAACTTCACCGTTGGTTCCCAATCTGCTACTTTGAACCGTTAATCCGAAGGTCAAATTGTTGGATGTTCTTCCGAATTTATTTACAGGTGGAACTTGTGTTTCGCTGTTGTTAGACTGTAGATAGCAACATTGTCGCCATAAATCATCACATAATGAACATCCTCGAGTAAATTCAGAATAAGGAGACGGAATGCAAATGGTACATCGTAGTCCGAAGTACATTCGTTTGAACCGTTGTTGTTTATTGGCGACTGTAAACGCCTTTTTCTCCCGAGCGGCTTTCATTATTGGTACTTGCCATTATCCCGAATGTAAATCCATTAATGAGAGCAATTTTGCACTTTGTAGTTGATCAAACATTTCTGCTACAGTCGGGACTGGGGGCGGTCTGTTTAAACGTATAGTGTTTACTTGGCGAAAATCCATACAGAGCCAAATTTTCCATTGGGGTTTTGAAGAGCAGTACGGGAGAGTTATACGAAATTCAAGCTTCTTCAGTGCTCCTCTCCTTTAGCGTCTGTTAAATCAGACGCTTGACTACGCCCTCCAAGTATAGCGGGATCCGGTGAGAGTTACAGTCTCGAAATCTTCCTGACTTAATTGGAAGTTGGTGTTCGGCCTAATCACAGAACCCGCATGAGATATCATCGCTAATGGAAAAATGGAATATCGTTGCACAATTGACTGAAATCACGGCGAGCATTTATGTGTGATGGTTCTGTTTTTACGGTTGACAACTCCTCTTTTGAGCGCAACATCGGAATTGTTCCTTAGTTGCTAACAAGCCCTAGGTCAACCGCGGTCCCAAAATGGTGCAAGAGATCTGATCCTAGTTTTGTCTGGCTCTTTTCTTTTGATATGAAAAACAGCTGCTTGATTATCTTGTTTCCAAAAAGAACAGTCCAGCTTAAACCGGTAATCACCAGTTGTTTTCACAGTTATATTTCATTCTTTCAGTACCTCATTTGGTTGCAGTCTCCCCAAAAATAAAGCCGAATCCGTATCGATCAAGCATAGTTATTTACGACCCTCTATTTCCAAATGTGCTTGGGCTGCACCGCGATCTACCGCCGCCATCACGACGAGACTGCACCTTTACATCGCGTGATGGTTTGCGTGCTTCCATGACCCTGCGAGCTATGCAGAATGGCTCCTCAAAGCGATAGATCCAATGATGCTTGAGGGTTCAATGTTATGGGCCAGACAAAGCTCAGGCTCACAAAGCCAGCTGCTTGGGCACATCCTGGCTACCTTCTACTATCCCTACCCGCCCCTGGAGAGGTCACTCCAACAAATAAACACGGTGAAGGGCAGTTTACCAGTCAAAAAACCCCGGTAGATGGACTTAGGAGCGGGGTATTTGGGGCTTCCTCTTGACGGTGGGAGAAGTCTTCGCGCTTCACTGGATAACTACCAGTGACACAAGCTGGGCAGCCCCCAGGCAACGAAGTGCTTTCTCGTCCATGTTAAGTGGGTCTTATTGGGTGCATAAGACTAAGGGCCGGACCCGAACAGCGTACCCATAATCAACGCACCAGCGAATAAAATACTGAACTGAGACCCCAAGGTCTTGAGTGACAGGTCTGTAGAAGTACCCACGCGGGGGCCTCGGCCACGCTCTCGCGTTGGATCTACGGCACACTGCCTTGTGGGTCAGGCTTTTGAGTCGAAGGGTCCGGTTATGGTTCCCAAGGAAAAACCGCTTCGTCAGTGTGGCGTGCCCATAAATCTTACACACCCATTTGCAGGAATCTCTTTCCCATCCGTCTAGCTCTTCCTCTCCACACCAAATAATCCCAGATGCCTCCTGTTTACAAAACCCATCGTACATTTTTCAGGGTTTTACCATCAAGGCAAGACAATCAGAAGTAATAGGACTTTTAAAGCCAAAATTCCCTTTTCACTTAGTGGCGTTCGATGTCCGCACACTCTACCAGAACCCAGGAAGATTTCAATTTAGATGTATACTGCCTCTCCGAATACGCATAGAAGACCCTAATTTAATTATTTCCCTGCACTCTCCTTATCCAACCCGAACTTCAAGCTTCACCCACCGTATGTCAGGCGATTCGACATCGGAAGCTCGCGGTGTTGCTGGAGTTGGTATTGTGCTAAGTGTCAAGGCTGAGTACCCGCTTCTTGACTGGATTCCAGTGCGCTGTACGTATCAACGGTTCAGCACGGTTCAACAGCTAAAGAATGAAGCGTCGATGCTTACTCGTCGTATCGGTGTATGCACCGACCGTTTACAGTACGACAGAAATCAAGGATGAGTTCTACAAGGATCTTTCTTAACTACTCCAAAGTGCTCGATCAACGGACGTGGTAGTAAACGCCGGAGACTTCAATGCTCAAGTGGGATCCCTGGACGAACTAGAAAGATTTATTGGCGAACCACATTCAATCCCAGCCAACAGGACGGAAAACGGAGGTCACCTACTTCAACTTTGCGCGGACCACGGATTGTTCCTGAAAAGCACCAACTTCTCGCACAAGAAACGACACCGCCTTACATGAAAACCACCAACCTCTTCACAGAGCTGGACCCAAATCGACCACATCGCCATCGGTTACCGTTGGAGGTCGTCGATTCAAGACTGCTGCTCTTACTGGTCAACACCTGTGGATACGGACCACGCTTTGCTACCAGCCACATTCTCCGTATGGCGTATGCCTGGCAAACAACCGCAAAAAAGCGACCGGAAACGGATGCCCACGATACAATGTCAGCGAGGCTCGCTAATCGGCCCTCGAAGCGGAACTCTCCGATTGCCTCTCCGTTCAACAACCAGCCGAAGGACTCAACGAACACTGGAAGCAAATCCGGAAAGCTATGCGGATATCGATAAAAACAACGTCGGACCCTGGCGCAGGCTCAAAACACAAACGATGGACCTCGTCGATCTTGGATACCCTGCTGGACGCTTGCACAACCCTTCATCTTGACGCCAAATATAACAGCGCGCAAATCTCTTAAACACCAGATCATCAAGAGTCTGAGGAGTAACCAGGAAAAGAGTAAAGAGATGATGCGGCTGGTGGCAATAGTCGCAATCTTTCACGTCTAATTAGGAATACGAGTCTCAGGAAAATAAGCGTAAGTGGGGTAATTAAAGAATTTGACCTATCACCCCCCACATCTCGACTGGGCATATACTCCCAGTTGACGCCAGTCTTCTATCTGAAACGAAGGTATCCCATCGCAACATCCGGCTGTGTGTGAGGGTCGAGTGTATGCCGCGACAGTTCGGTCAGTCCTGCTATGCGATACAGACACTTGAACATTATGAAAACAGAATCAGCATAGACTGTCGGTGTTTGAACACCGCTGTTTACGCAGCATTGCACGAATCTGGTGGGACAGCCGGTTGAGCAATGCTGCGGATGGGTGCAGAATTTTAGGTAACCGTGGTCGTCCACTGGAACAATTGGTCGACCTTCTTAGGTTATGCTGGTTAGGGCATCTGTTACGTATGTCACCATATAGGTTGTCACGTCCCGCCGAAGCAGGTAGTGGGTCAAAAAAAGCCAAGGGTGGTCACTCTAAGACCTGAGGGTATGAAAACCCTAAACAGAAGACTGGGTCACATAGGTCCCGTTAGGCCCCCTGGATGGGGACCTCGGGATGATTGTAATCGACGGTTAGAGACACTGAGTGATATGACAGACTGTAGTAAACAGTGGCGTTCGTGTATCTTCTCAATTTATTTGCGACAAATATCACTGCAATTCTCCATTTTTTATTCAACTCCACTTTCCACTATGCTGTCTTTCTCCTACTGTCATCCAAATGGGCAGCCAAAAGACAGCAACCGAAACCGGCGCACAGAAGTGCATGGTTGATAGTTGTACAAACTGAAACTGATCTACCGCCCCGACAATTGCTTTGTCTAGGAAGAAAGGCGTGTATTAAATCAATTTTTTGTCGGGAGAACATATACTGGATCTTTTTGGCTCATTCCTCTACCGGTGACCCAGCTTGTCGGAGTAAAAGCACATATTCCTGTTCTGTCTTCCTCTTTAGTACCGCCTCTCCTTCAGTTAGTTTTTTTAGGGCTGCCCCGAATTCCTATTTCGCCTTGCGTTTGGGGACTTCGTGTACCTCGTGGGCGGCAACGCTATGATTGGTTAACTGTCTCAGCTTCAGCCAACGTCAATACATCCATGGAATGCGCCACGTTGACCATTTTCCCTTTCTCCCGTAGAGCGTCCGACAGACCCAACACGAAACGCTCCAGTAATAATTCCGGGTGAGCAGCACCGTTCAAAGTTGGCAGCGCTCGATCTGACAAGGTAGGCCGGGCTACAGCATGTGGCAGATGCTCCACGTCAGCTCCGAGTTACGCCGTCTTTAAACGCCGCAGTGCTTCTTAGCAGTTTGTCGGAGTGCCGAATCCTGATCGTTCGTGCCGACCTAATCTATATTATCCGAGTTTCTTTTCGCTGAAGCCAACAGCGCCCGCTCACGGCCATTGAGAAGCACCCCAACGACCGTCAACTTACCCCGATCCAACCGGATCTCCGCCATCTCTGCGACGTCCCCGAACTTCCCCAGGAAGGTGAACATGACTCCATCTTCGAAAGCTGAACGCTGACTATAGTAGTTGATGTAGACACACCTCATGTAACACGAATTAAGTATCGCAAATAAAGGATCCAATTGAAACACCGAATCGCACGAACACTTCCACACTTAAATTGAAAAAAGAGTATTTTTAGTCAAGCGTTTCCCATCGTTACAGTTCCGATAGCCTTGACCTATGTACAATCCTTATGTTTGTTTTTTTGATAAATTGGGGGTCCATGAACTTAACAACCATGTTTGACCATAGTCGTTCTCATAAGCCAACAAGGTGCGACGTGGATATTTTTCATGTTGCATAACTGGACATTATCTGACATATATGAGACAACTTATACAACTTACGTGACTGTGATGACAGCACTCGGAATGGAGTTGGCGGCTGTGTGGACCTCCATTTGGTTTCCTTGAACGACAATGATATATATAATCTTCATAACAAATGTGAGCAATATGAATGGGAGGATTTCCTATAAACTTATGAAAAGTGGGGGAGTGTTCATCAAATCTTGTACACTACCTAAGCCATTGGAAAGAAACTAAACCAATTGAATTCCAGAATATGCTCATTATGAAATGAGAACACGCGTTCAGAGGCAAACAATTGTTTTCATCGATTCGTCTTCCGAACAGATCAAATAAGTAAATAGTATGTTGAACGGGGATAGATATTCAGTCATTCAATAGTCACTGTGATTGGTTGAAAGAGAGAGGAATGGGGGTGGGGGTGAGTGGTGTGATATGTTTCACGCCCCTAGATCACCACAACACTGCAATCAAACTATGATGCGTCATCTGTGCGATCGATTTTAGACCACGGCAGTTGAATGGCATGGATCAATCTCTTTTGTGCATACAGATTGGGTTTGAACAAACGAATACCGATCACCTCCGCAGTGGTTAGGATGTGGTGATGCAGCGACTCGGATGTGTGAGGTGGTACTCGATAGATAACTTTGTGGGTTGATTCAGGCTTCACTTGGTGACCCGAGTCAACCAGGTGGTTTAGAATAGGATTTATTGTGACATGTCCGCCGTTTTGAAGCCAGCGTGGACAGCGTTCTTTAATCCGCTGAAACAGTTGCCTCGCCGTTCGGCTGATATAGGTTGCGTTACAAAAGCAGCTGACGGAATAGATAACCATAGATAAGGCCAGGGTAGGAAAATGTCTTTACTGGGTGTTCTTATTATTGATGTGCCTGTGAGTACGCATGACAACCTGGTTGCATCGAGGGTTCCTCTCATAGCACACGTCTCCTAATAACATCAGGCAGGTCATCTCCTTTGGAAAGCAGTTGCTTCTTCGGACCTTCCTGAACGGGCTCGTGTTTCAGCTTTTCTTCTAGGTTTCTCTCAATGAACCTTTCAGAGTATCAGTTTCCCCTTAGAATGTTCTTTATCTGATCGATTTCATATGCTAACATAGATTCGAAGCATATCTTTCGTGCACGCGAGACAAGGCACTGAATAACGTTTCTATTTTGTCTAAGTGGCACGAAACCGTGAAAACCGGTGTACTGTTCAGTCCACATTTCTTTTCTGTATACCCTTTTTTCAAGCAGCCTATCAGTTGTCCTGTGCAGAACTACGTCAAGGAATGCTAGTTTGTTATCTTTCTCTACATCCAGGGTGAAACTCATGAACTTGTGATCCTTGCTAAACGTTTGCGTGATGTGGATTAGGTCGTCCTCATTGTCAGTTTGCAAAATATATCGTCGATGTATCGCTTACAGAATTTCACCTTTCTAATTTTTGATTCCAGGACTGAGGTTTCCAGTTTGGCCATGAACACATACGCTAATATTGGTCCTAGTGGAGAGCCCATAGCGACACCATCCCTCTGACAATTCAGTTTTCCGTTGAACAGAAATTTGACATCGAATGTGCGCTTCAGGAGCTGTTTTAAAGCAATTGAATAACGTTTTTCCATAGAAGGTCTAGAAATTATGTATCCAACTGACTATCACTGAAGACACACATGAATTGGCAATTTGGTTCAGTCATGGCATGAGCTAGCTGGCACAGTGGTAACACATACGCCTTCCATGCGATGGGTCCGGAGTTCAAATCCCGGACGGGACGACGGTGGATATACACTCCTGATGACTTCAGTNGATTGTGCGTGAAGGTGAAGTCCGAAGGATAGTCAGTCAGATCAATCAAACTATATAAACTCAGTCCACATTTTGTAAGTGGTTTCCGGTAAATTTTTCCATTGATTTAAGAATTTCTGGCAAAGAAAATACACCTCCACTCCGTGCGTACATATGCACACTGTGTACCTCAGAACGAACAGTGAAGAATTATCACAAAGGAACATCGCTTAATTCAAAATGGGAGATTTTGCTTCGCGCTGTGAAGTAAAAATCTGGTCTTCAATGAAAGGTTGCCCTGGAGACCGTGCAAAATGAGTTGATCCACAATTTTACTGAATCAAACATATCTGGCAGCTCACGGAGAGTCTGGATGTCCGAATAGGATGTCCCAGAATTTGGATGAAATTCAGCATCCATGCTATGTGCCAGTCAATTTCCTTAATGAAATTTACGTCTCGTCTGGTTTCAGGCTTGGATCCTCGTCTAACAGTCCGCGTATATGTCCATGTGAGTGTGTCCGCGTTCACATTCTCTTGGCTTGTGTAGATAGATATCTGTCTACACAGGCACACCATTAGAAAATGTGATTCGAATTCTGGTTTTACTGCTGGCGATCTTGCAACATGCTGGAAACTATACAGAGTATTATGCAATTATTCATTTTGCATTATTTGCATACCAATGAATTCTGGGATACATGCTCGCTCTTTGTTACATCTGCAATGGCTTGTTACTTTATATTACCCACCTGTTTTTACGATCTATCGACTATCTACGATGTCACAAATTACCAAAAGAGTGATTTCTTGTAGCGCGATTAAACTCTCCAGTTTACAATATGCTATCAGAATAGAAGATCCAAACAGCATCATGATGGTTAGTATAAGATTGAAGATTTTTTTGACAGCATTGCATAAATCAAAACGCTCAGAAAGCCCGTCANTCATTATAGACTGTCATGTTTTTCGGTCTGGCCATTCGGTTGTTTGAAGCAGCAGGCGCTGTTGATGGTCTGGATGTGAGTTTTAATCCATGAGAGATCGACCGTTTAGCTCAGGGGGAGGGGTTTGAAGTCCCAACTCGAAGGTTCATTGTTTGAGTCCCGACAAGGACGTAGAAAGAACGTACTGTTGATTAGTCAAAAACAGGACGAAACAGCTTTCCAGTCCTCATTATCGTTCATCACAAATATCTCCAGTCATTCATTGTGTTGAACTGAGTGAAGGAAACCTTTGGAATTTGGCAAGGGTGGATGGGGGTAAAAGAGCCATTTATGGCAGGCAGAATGAATAAACCCTGCATCGCTGGAGGGGTCGTTGTACGAGTAGTAATTACCTTTTACGGTACGTCTATCTTGTTTCATACAGACATTCATATAACAAGGCAAAGAATAGTGCTATTTGTTTATACGTCAATGTACACTTACATATATACATATAATATATATATATATATGACAGTTTTGTAAACTGTTGTTTTTGTAGCTCGGGTAGTATAACTTGGTGTTCAGTTGTTCGCCGAGCTTGGCAACTGTATTATATTGTCTTGTATTGTATGCAATACAGTTGCCAAGCTCGGCGAACAACTGAACACCATATATACGTATGTATAAAAACGTTCTACCCAGATTTTTCGATATAAAAGGAGGGTAGAATAAATTGCCAGGAATGAAGCCGCGGCCGGTGAAAGACTGCCGAAGGAAGATGCACAATAGGATGACATGACGGAGAAGTTTAAACTCACTAAATTTCGAACCAGTGGATTGATGACCTGTACCGGACGACAAGTATCGCACAAAATTTTGTAGAGTTATCTGGTGGTCTCTTTTCGAACGTGAATATATGCTTGTATGTGCGTGCTACTTCACAATACGACTTTCACGGCATCTAGCCGTGGATTCATTCAAACTAAGAAGATAATAAGCTTTAAGATTTGTAAAATCCAAAAAATGTAT